TTATCTTGAAATCTAGGGTTTTGAATATGAGAAAGAAACTTTGATAGTTANGAACAATTTAAAAAAAATTAACAAGAGATCATCATAAATACCATTGTGTTGTTCAATACGAAACACTAAAATTTTGAAATCAAGAATAACAGAGGAATCCAGAGAAAAACTCACTTATCTTGAAATCTAGGGTTTTGAATATGAGAAAGGNTCCAAGTCATATTAATATGATGTAGAGTCAAAGAAAACATATATGTATAATCCTAGCCTCAATGTAAGAGAATGAAAGAAAATCCCTACTTGAATCAAAATTCCAAGCAAGGACTCAAGCTTTAGTGACCTCCTTCTTCCATTTTCTTCCTTCCTTAATCTTCCTCTAAGGTTCTAAGAAGTGTGAGGTGAGAGTGGAGTGAAGAGAATGAGAGTATNATGTATAATCCTAGCCTCAATGTAAGAGAATGAAAGAAAATCCCTACTTGAATCAAAATTCCAAGCAAGGACTCAAGCTTTAGTGACCTCCTTCTTCCATTTTCTTCCTTCCTTAATCTTCCTCTAAGGTTCCAAGAAGTGTGGGGTGAGAGTGGAGTGAAGAGAATGAGAGTATATGAGATGAAAATGAGTTTTTAAACACAGCAGCCTCGATTTTTACTATTCACAGACTGTTTTTGGTTTCTCTAAAATTACAGTTTTTCCACTAAGAATCTTCAATTTGATTCATATGACTACCCTAAGATTTTTCGACATTCTGGATTCATTTTTAATGTTATTTTAACTTNTTCCTTAATCTTCCTCTAAGGTTCTAAGAAGTGTGAGGTGAGAGTGGAGTGAAGAGAATGAGAGTATATGAGATGAAAATGAGTTTTTAAACACAGCAGCCTCGATTTTTACTATTCACAGACTGTTTTTGGTTTCTCTAAAATTACAGTTTTTCCACTAAGAATCTTCAATTTGATTCATATGACTACTATAAGATTTTTCGACGTTCCGGATTCATTTTTAATGTTATTTTAACTTAAAAATATTTATTTTTATGATTTATTTCAAAACTAAAATAAATTTACACTCGAAATATTAAAATTACTATTTTATTCCTTCCTAGTATTTATTTTTACGGTTTCAATATATATGGTTTATTCTTACGTCATTACATATATAA